CAGTTTTACGAGGGTAGTTCATCGGGAAAGTATAAGACATTAAGAATCTAAATTATCCTACTTTTTATTTTTTAAATTGTTATTTCATCTCTAAGTGTGTATTAAAGTCAATCTCATTTAATATTTTTCTTAACTGATGCTGGGTTTTTATAAAATCAAAATTATATCCTCCTATTGAAAATATTCATTAAGGTAAAATACCATGATACACAATAAACAATCAGCCACAGCATAAACATTTTCTATAAGGAACATATTCTAGATTCAAAAAGTATCGTCTCTTGTTAAAAGAGAAATCTGAGAAATAAGATAAGTTGGATTTTATATTAATGCAAGTAAACACTGTTTCTACAAACCTTTGTTTCTTTCCACAAGCCAGGTTATTTTAAAGGCAGAAGGACCAACTGTACACATCAGGGATTGGTGGTAGATTTTAATTTTTATAATATATACGAAGTAATATGCCTTTGCTACATCAAAACTCCTCAATGAGCTTTGATTGTCTGATTTTTCTTATAGGTTCAAATTGGATTCTTCACATCATTAATGAGTTAATATTTGCTGATTCCAAAAAAAAGTATGAATACCCAGAATTCCCAGTTCTTGAATGCGGGGACCCAGAAAAATACCAGGTTAGTACAAAAACTGAGTGTTTAGCATCACCTTTGGAAATGATGCTAACATTTCTCCCGCTTTCCAACTTCTCATTTAGAAATGTGTTACGTCGTGGGTGACAGGTTATCTTACTTGTGATTACTCACCTTACCAATATAACCACTATATTGTATTTGCTTGTGTTGTTACCTATCACAAAGATAAACAGGTTTCTCTTATGACTGAAATAGGGTTGGTATGCTGGCTTGTAAATGTTTATTTGTATGATTGCTTCTCCAAAAAGTCTATTTTAATTTCCAAACAAATGACATCAAACAAAACTTTGTAACACAAACCATTTATAAGTAGAGAACTTCTGTGATATTGCTTACTGACATTGGGAAAGGTTTCTATTCCTGATCATGATTTTGACACGTCAAGACTTGACTTTGAGCTTAACCACCCAATGCTCTTGGGGACTCTTTTACCTCATGGAAAACCTGGTAATCCTGTTTCTAACTAATCCAGGTCTCTTACTGTTTCACCAAGTGCTTTAGTGTGAATGGAAAGCAAAGCATGACTTTTGTTTTCAGGTCCCTGCATTTGTTCTAAATCTTAGCTCTAATTATGCAATTAAAAGCTGTACTTCCAGTTAAGAGAATTTCTTGCTTTAATGAGAAGGTCCAGATGATGTTGAAAGTCAAGGAAGTCTTCTAGAAGCATCAAAATTAACATTAAAATGTTCTACAATGTGAGTGAGATATATGGTTCTAGTTCTAGGGTTTCTAGAAAATATTTTAACTCAGTATAGTATTTTGGGGTTTGAATATCTATACTTTATCAGAAATGTTTATTTTTTTTCTTCAGGTATTTTTAAGACTTTTTTTTATTGTAATTTCATCATACCTGGGAACAAAAATTCTTTTGCATGCAATGTTCCTTTTGTTTTAAAATCAGTGAGAAGATGAGCTCCATATCAGAGTTAATCACTTTACAGGCAAAATATAGTTGTATCTAGTCTTTACATTGCTTACAGTTTGGCTATATCCCACATTTTCTTAAACATATTATTATATGTTTATCTAGTTTTGCTACAATTAATTCCCATTTTCCTCTTGGATAGTTTTCTAATCCTTTTAGGAACTTTACCATTTCTCATATGTCTCTATGTGATTTTGGCTCGCAGTGTAGTGGATAAAGCACTCTATAACTTAATCTGAAAATTACCATTGTGTGATTTTTGTACAAAGCGCTTAAAACCTCAAAGCCTATTGTTAATCTCTAAAATGGGGATTACAGTATCTACCTGAGAAGATTGTTATGAATGAATGTAAAGGCACGTTCAAATCTAAAAAGTGTAATTTGATGCAAATCAAGTATTATGACTACTAATCACACTCGGACCCACATCACTGATTTTTGAAACCTCATTTTTCGCCCTCTTCTTTGAGTTGGGATCGCCACTAAGTTTTTACAAAACAATTGGCTATAAATGTCAAAATATTATTTTGCCACTTAAAATGACGTGACCAAGCAGTGACCTCTATAAGCTTGAATGAATATTTAAAGGATTAGCACCCCCTTCCAACCACATAACATATACTAAAGGTCTGATTAGAAGATAAAACCCTTAACTCTGGAAGATTAAACTGGTACCTTCATTTTTTAAGTTACTGGTAGAAGTAGATTAAAAAAAAACAAATAAAAAAAGAATCAATCATAGAGTCCTTACACTGACAAGAATTTCTCTCAGAAAATATTTTAGATATTTAAGTGACTGTACATTTCCAGGTTCTGTTGGGGTATTTGATTGCATGGAGTTTGGTTGGTTGGTAAAAAAAAAAAATAGATCTAGATGTTAAAAATGGATTTGGAGGAGCTATGCAAAGACTTGAAAATAGAGAAGATCCAAATTAAGTGAAAGAGTGGATTGCAGATTATGAACTGTCTTGAACAAAATGAATGTGGTATGATTATGGGAAAAGATATAGTTTTCAAAAAATGACAGAAAAATAAATGGTAAGCAGGATCCAGGAAGGAAGTTCAAAAGGAAGATTTTAATTATTCATTTATGATTCTCCCTTCCTCAATCCTACAAAGCAAGGAAATAGAAATAAAGAAAAATTGGAGGAGAAAGAGAAGACAGCAGTAGTAATGTTTAAAATTACCAGATACTGAACTTAGGAATGATTACACACACACACACACACACACACACACACACACACATATGCACGCTTTTACCTTATTGTGTATATTTTTAAGAGAATGAAACAGTTTCCATCGCCAAGGATTTTGGCAACTCACCTCCATTATGACAAATTACCTGCGTCCATCTTCAAGCAGAAAGCCAAGGTGAGTGTCCTTTCCTACTAGCATTTCAGTTTTTGAAGTTTTGAAGTATTGAAGTTTTTAATGTACAAATATTGGCTTTCTGAGCTATATGATGACTTTACTACTCATCAAAGAATTTTAATGAATTCAGTGTGAGATTTTAGTATTTTGTTGTTTCTTCAAATGTATTTGCTATAGTTGCATTAAAATCAAAGGCATTTTCAGCTAGGATATAAAACATATACATATTTTAAAATCTGGTTTTGTTTTGTTTTGTTTTTTNCACAAGGCCTGCATTTGAATCCCAGCTCCTTGAATGGCTGACTACTTTGCTAGGTAAAACTCCAATTAACCTACCTGTAAAATGGTAACAATAGTAACAACACTGATTTCATAGAGCTGTTATAAGTATGAAGTTACATTAAATCATCCATGTACTTTTATCAGCGTGGCAGGATGTCTACTACATACAAGTGTTCAATTTTTTGTTAGCTATTATTATATAATGTTAGCTATTAAATTACTTTTAACTGATATATGAATGACTGTAGCAGCTAGGTAACTGCATAATGAGGAGTTAACTTCTTAAATGTTAGCATTAGTTTAAAGAAAGGTTAATAAAGTTTTTTTAAAAATTATCTTCCAAGGGTTAAACAAAAAAATAGAAGAAGAGAAAGGATATGACATGGAGAGAAGAACAGGAGAGAAACAAGAAAAACTCAGTATATGTTTATGGAAACTTAAGAAGATGCCGATGAGAGTAAATGTTAACCCAGAAAGTGTACTAAATAGGATATAGGTTAAATTACTGTACAAAGAGACTAAAAATTTGATGATTAGTGGTTCAACATGATAGACAATTGTATTCTTTTGCATACAGTTTAAAAGGAAGTTTGTGTTAAGCAAGGTGGGTCGTCGGAGGCTGCCTTTATTTCACCAGTTCATCCAGTGAGCCAGGTTTCTCTACCTTGGTCTACCATCCCCTGGAAGGCTGTTTTTCTCTGAATTTACAAGTCTGGCTGGCCAGCATCACGTCTGTCCTCCAAGTGAGGGAAACAGCATACAGAAGAATTAAGAAACCACCAACTTCCTCTATTAAGGACAAGGCTGGGAATTAGCACACATGACTCCCGCTCACCTCCCACTAGCCCAGGGCCACATCAAGCTGCAAAACATGTGGGAATTATAGCCCAATTTATCCAAGAGGAAAAGCAGAAAAGTGGCTGCTGGGGAAAGACTGTATCGCAGAGTGAGCATCTCACTCTGGAGACCTTGACCTGCAGGGAATAAACTCAGCGGACAGGAGATACCAATGTATTGTGTGTTCCCTTTGACAAAGCATGGCTCTTCTTTTGACCACACAACTCTATTGTTAAATAGGTCAGGAAGAGCAGCTATCATTATCCCAATTTTACATAGACTTTTGAAGGTGTATTATGAGCTTAGAATAATGCAACTAGTAAGTGGTAGAGTCAAGGTTCAAATTCAGGCCTTCAGACTTCTAAATCTATTGAGCCAGGAAACGACAGATCTGAGCCTGGTGCCTAGGATTGCCTCCAAATCACAAGTGCTTTTCACTCCACTAACTTACCTCTCCATCCCGTTGCTTCCTTGTCACACCATGTAGGATGTATGTACAAAGCTATCAAACGAGGAGAGAGCTGCAGTTTTATTCTGTAAATTGCTTTTTGCTAATAAGAAAATGGCATGCCTGATTCAACTAAGTAACTATTTGTTAGATATTTAGTACCTGTTATTGTCTATTAAGAGGTTCCATTCTGGGCTGGCCGAGTGGTGCGTTGGTTAAGAACTGGCTTGGGACGCCAGAGGGCCCTGGTTCTGATCCCACATATGAGGGCCAGTGATACTGCCCTCTTAAAAAAAAAAGAGGTTCCATTCTTCCCTTCACTGGAAGGTTTGCCTGTAATGGTAACATAATCGACTTTGAGGTAATATTCCCTGATCTTCAGCCTGTTTTGCAGCTGTGGTTTGCCTTTTGTCAGAGGTGGGTATTCAGAAAGGCTGGGGGTGGAGGGTTGGATGAGAATTACATGATTCCTTTCTCATGTAAATGAGAGGAGCCCTTTATCCCACCTCCTGAAAAGCTCCACTAAAAGCCATCGCTGCCCCCAGACAACCACAGAGCGGCTTCATTAGCAGGGAGCCAGCATGGCCAATAAGTCCAAATTTATTGACTACATTGATGAAGCTTTGGAAAAATCAAAAGAAAC